TCAAGATGATTTATAGAAAATCAATTGACTAACTGCAGAATGTGAAGACCCCAATGTAAGGATTTTGACGATGTTGAATGGAATTCGGTCTTTATATTTTGTAGCAACAGTAAGCCATCAAGCGGTTACAACTAAAACATTGTAAAAACCATTGATAATCAATAAAAGTCAAGTGTGAAGGAGTAGAACATTTATCAAACCGATTCTTCTGTACGGTTCAATTTCTTCTTTTTTTCTTCACACATTACTAATGAGTACATCACGAATAACCGGTTGTACTTTATTCACATACATGTGTACAATATTTGTTCACATACATGTAAAAGCTAGCAGGGTATTTTACCCAAGTCTACAGCAATCTATTTATATAAATATTCGATAAATCTACATGTAAAAATCTATCCAAGTCCTGATCAATTCCTTTATTCGATAAATCTACAAATGTAAAAGTTAGCAGGACCTTTTACCCAAAGTCTAGATCATTTTGCATTACATGTACATGTAGTTGCTTGGTCAAGGAACTTAATTTAGCAGGTCAAAAGATAAATAGTATTAATACTTGTAGGAATGTAGTCCAAGGGAAATGATAACGCAACCCTGATGCCGTTATATGGACAGGGTAGTTGTGACATGAGGTTATTAGAATTTCTGAGCGCATCGGTTGTTAATCATTTTGACTGTAATTGTTCGAAAATAATTAGTTAACTGGGCAGGGGATGGCCGAATGGTTAAGCTCGGTCATTGCATTGAGTCAACTCGCGTGGTTTTGAGTCCCCAGTTGTACGTTACAAGTAGTTGGGTCAACTGTCCAACCTCGTGGCTTTTCTCTGTGTCCTCCGGTTTTCTCCCACTGCTAAAGACCCGTACGCGCAAGCAAATTATTGCAATAAAATTGAACAATATGTTAGTCCCGAAATGACCAAGTCTGAGTCAAGTGGACATTAAACCCTATATCTCTCTCTATCTCTATTAATTAAGTACGGCAACTTTTTCTTAAAAACAATGCGTTCCTAAATGTGGCCGGAATCTTTGAAAAGAATCATGGTACAGACAATCATAAAGACAAAATGAAATGGAGTTTAATGTCTTACTGTTCTGGTCCTACTGCTGGGCTAATGAAGATGGATGGACATAATTTTGATCAAACAGCAGCAGTAGGGTCCGTCCTACACCACTGACACTCACACAGGGAAACCAACCACACCAGAAAATCTTGATAAACTTTCCCAACCAACACCGGGAGCGAACCCGTGACCTCCAGGTTAGTGAGTTAGAGTATTACTCATTTAGCCATTGTTTAAAGGGCACCAATAAAACCTGCTATTGCTGTGACTACATGTACCATTGCACAACAATGCTGCAGAGACTATGATTAGAATAAAGCCTTTTAAAGCTCATATTATATATATGTTTATGGATCAGGCTTATTGGTGAAACAGGCTTTCTCCAAATTAATCCACTTTAGCAATTCCAATTAAATTACCGTACATGTAACTATTATAATATGGTTGAACAAGTTGGATATTCAGAGACAAAGAATTGATCGTCGCTTTGAAATTGTACATCAATTGCTATGTATCTATGATGCTGCAACAAATCTCTAAGTGGAACAATATTCAGTGCATGATAAAATACAAAAAGTCTCTGTCGCTAGTCACATGATAAAGAAAGTGCAACCCCTGAAACATCTTCCATAAGTTGGGGTTTTTATTCATTGAGTTTATTAAGCCTACATGTACATATACGGGATTATTCATTGAATGACATAAACCTAGTTCCTTTAGGAACGGTCTCTGATCGGACGCTGTCCTCTGACCGTTCCTATTCGTTCGTAACTACATGTATATGGGCCTTTACTTCAGACTGATAATTTTGCATACAAGTACAAATAACCCAGAGCAAATCAAATGTCTAATATTGTCTGTCCTAATGGATATATACTGGTATACAGCTTCCTTTCATCCTGATCCATGACGTCCAAAACCTTGTTGTCATAAAGGAGATTATTACTACCGTATAAGAGAAAATGTTTACCACATGTAGTTGGGATCATTTGATTGTGAAATTGGCAGAACCAGCAGAGATTAAGGGGGAAGATGAGTGGGCTGCAGCCACGGGCCACAATATTAAAGTTCTAAAAATGTTTTTGATTTACAATTGTATGTTTGCGACAATGAATCTATCTACTGTACTGACATACCCACAATGAATTGTGAGTGTGACTGATAATGACCAAAATATACCTCCTTTAGGAGACAATTTCAGCCAGGGTACCCATGCAAGCTAAATCTGGCCATGGCAATTTGATTTTTAAAATGGAAACTACCTTCACAAAGATAATTGGCAAGGCATTTTAAACAATTAGTTGAGCTGTTTAGCAGCTTCAAAATAAACATTTAGTAATCTATAATTAGTGTGTTAAGACAGTTGACATTTGTATATAGTTTAACTAGATTTTCATTGTGGATAGGACGGGCAATCCATACTGCTTTCAAGTATCAATAATCGCTGATCAATAATCGATAATATTGGTGATTTATTTTTACTTACAATCTGTTTTGAAAACATTCATAATTTGTATATATGAATAATGAATTATGTCAGTTGATGCTGTAATATCATTACCAGTATGTAGAATTCATTTCATTGATTTGACAATAAAATAATTGCACTCCATCAAATTTATTTGGAAGACAGAAACGTTGCCGCTCAAAATATCTGTGTCGCTTTTCACCAGAACAATTTGAGTAAAATGTAGTTATTTCCGTGTCCAGCTTATTTCTTGTAGTGATTTCTTGTGAACACAGAATAGCTTGTACATGCATAGTGGCTTAAGCCATACATGTGTAATTCATGTTTTTCACTCTTGGTCACCATGAGATCTATATGATTTCAATATTCCACAATAAGTTATATCATGAAGAACTTTTTGCTCTCATCATAAGCGGCCAACAGTTTTTAGCGCTGGCATTTTTACTCTGTGGCGCTGGCGTCTCACATGAAAAACAAAATGTGTGCACTGAATAACTTTTCTGTTTAATAACAGTTACTGAGCTAGGCCCAAGCACACGTTGCAAAGAATACTGTGATAATGATTATTCTTTATGGATGTCTTCTCACAAGGGACTGCCTATCAATGTGCGATTATTGATAAATAAAATTTGTATCGATTATCGATCTTCAAAAGACTTTACCAACGATTATCAGCAATATGGATATTTTAAGGTTAAAGAACAACTGCAGTGAGCAGTGATGGCAATATAATTTACCAACAATTATCAGCAATATGGATATTGTCTGTCAGCCCTAATTGTGGCTAGCTTTGCTGTCACTGATTTATCCCATGTTAAAAGGGATATGGGAATGCCTCTTTAAGGTTTAAGAACAACCGCAGTGAGCAGTAATGGCAATACAATTTTACATACATGTACATGTAATGTACCGGTACTATATGATGACCTAACTCTACTTGGGCAACCCACTTACCCAGTATTGAGTAAAATGCATTGTATCCCTGTAAATAATAAACACAGGATTTTAACAGATGTTTGATTGTGAATTATGTAGGAATGTGTATCAGTATATCACTATGGGTATCCTATACATTTGTACATACATTAAATTGTATACATTGAAATTCTATATTATGGACATACAGAATGCACAATCAGATGTTTAAAATTGTGAATTATGTAGGAATGTGTATCAATTTTATCACTATGGGTAGCCTATACATTGTACATACATTAAAGGAGCTAAATCGCTAATATTTGGGACCTAGAAATTAACACAAATGGATTGCAACACATATAATATTGTAATATGAATGTATATACATGTAAACTGATTTACATTCAATCGTTTCCGTTTTTACTCTAATTTCAAATCAGTTATGTTCGGCGAAATACGCCAGAAATGTCAATCGAATGGCAATCTCTAGCGTCTGGTTACTCCAGCCTACACCGATACTCCGATAGTATTTATTGCACATGCTCTCCAGATACATGTAAGAATATGGCCTCACTGTTTGACAGGACTTGTGGAATATGTCTAGCCTCGTTCTTCAAGCCCCTTATTATAAACGGCGCTGAAATGCAGCAATGGCTCGCCAATGGTAAAATGCTTATTTGGTTTAATAAATACATAGTGTATATTTTGCCGTCCGAAAGTTCCTTACTTTATTTACTATTTAGCCGTACTTCCGTTCGACATGCGCAGTTGTCCGATTCTCGCGAGATCTCACGCCCTTGTCGCGTGATTAAATATGGCGACCGAAGAAGATGTTGACAGCTAGTGCGTTTACTAAAATGACGTTTCGGGCGTAATTGGAAGCGAATTAGGGTTAGGGTAAAATAAAATTCGTCGTGAGACGGTAAAATAGTTGAACTGACCGACAGCAAGTAATGTCAGACGGTAAAATAGGCCACGAGTTGAAATAGCCGGCATCATTGCCAAAGCGAATACCGCTAAGTCCAGGAATCAGACAACTGCGCATGTCAAACGGAAGTGGCTAAATACATGTAGTAAATAAAGTAAAGAACCGTTGGACGGCTGAATATCCACTGTGTAATAAATATTGGATATCAGAAGCCCATCATTTCATAACACGATAACAACACCAATGTTGATTTAAATTTGATAAATAATTTGTGTTTTCAATATCTAAGACTTTGGATTACTGAGTTAGAGACTTGTTTACATTGAAATTCTATGTATTATTAGGCCTAGGGACAGAATGCAAAATCAGCTAGTTTAGACTAGGGCCCTTATATTTATTATTTACAAGGTCCATGGTCGTCAAACTGTCACATTGACCAAATGGCAAATGGTTACTCAACCGTGCTAATCTAGGGCATTATGATTTGATAGCCACAAAGACTGTTCGTTCTCACTACCTACTGTCAATATTTTGACAAGCTTCGTCGATGGAATCCATCCACGATCAAACATCGAAGCAAGGATCGTAAACTGTGGAAATAAATTAGAAGTAAAAAACTTACCACTAAAGAATTGACCACGTCAAATTAACAGTTGCATAAAGAGTTTGCGAAGGTAGTCGACACCAAATGAAAGCTGATTTGTGGTAGCCGTGTAGATTCAGATTCAATAGCACTGACCGATTTACATCGCTTCAGTTTCCACAAAGCCAGCCTACAAAAAATATTCTCCTTCTAAAATCGATCCAATTTTACCTAACGACTACTTTATTTTCCAATATCTACGGCGTCGCTAATAGCCTAGTTATATTTACTGCACAAAGTCAACAAGAATTCGCCTATCGTATGTAGCAATGTAAAACCACTACTACACAGTGTAGCTAACGTGCCCAAAAAACTCACTTTCTAATCTCTCATGACCTAACCGGAAGCACTTCTGTTATTTTCCTCTAGCGAGTCGGCGCGCATTTTATCGTACCGCTTGAGTTATCTTAAAAATGTCTTTCATTATCCCATTCCTTACTCAGTGGAATTATGTTGCTATGACTCCACCATCGTCAATATTGTTTTACAGTTATCAGCGTTACGATTTTAATTAATTTACAACATTTTACAACTCTTAGAGAAGACATGTTAATTCATTTGTTCAAATGAAATAGTCTAGGTCTATTGATTCAAATTTAAAACAGTATTTCAGATGCTCGAACACTTGTCTTTTCCACCGCTATAGCCTATAGTACAATGAATGATACCCCTATACGAGCCTTTGCCCAAATAAAAATAGCTTCAATTGAAAAATTTTCGACACATATCACAGTTTGCATAGAAATAAGTAGGCCTATGACTAATAACGTTACAAATAGTGAAAAGTGGAACGCTGAAATCTTATCTTATTCTTAGGCTATAATATACTATTCAAAAAAAGTAGGGGATATTTGATTTTGGGGGCATAATACTAAAATATGCAAATGACTACGAAAAAAGTCACTATAGAACCTAACAGAAGAAACATTTCCAGTTACATGTGACGCCCAAACGCACCAATAGCTACCGCATGGAATGCAGGTGATGCTTGGGATCATCATGGGGGTCCAACCCAAGATTTGCACGACTCTGACTTTGAATGTTACAGTCATTGTGGCATTGAATTCCAGGGTGGAAACATCAGTTTAATTGTTTTAGTGACCAGAAAACAAATTTTGATATGCGGCGGCTTACCCAAAATGAAAGGTTACGTGCCCTTGGCATGCTACAGATCGGCACAACACAGGCGGTTGTGGCGCGGACGATGAATGTTTCTCAGTCTGTCATAAGCAGGCTATGGTCCAGATACCGTGATACACAATCTGTACAGGACAGACCACGCTCAGGTCGACCAAGGGCGACAACTCAAGCCCAGGATCGATTTATCCGTACCTTGGCCTTGAGAAATCGTGTCATCACAGCAAATCAGATCAGCGCTCGTCTTCAAACAGACACTGGTGTGAGAGTGAGTGGCCAGACGATTCGGAATCGACTGCATAGGGGTCACCTTCGCGCCCGACGTCCTCGCGTGATCCCTTGTTTGAGAGATCATCACATTCAGGCAAGACGTCGTTGGTGTAGGGATCGTCAACACTGGGATAATCGACGCTAGAGCAATGTGATGTTTTCAGATGAGTCAAGGTTCACTGTTGATTTTTTGGACAGACGTAGGAGGGTGTGGCGTCGTCGAAACGAGCGCTTCCAAGACGTTAACGTCATCAGACATGATCGATTTGGGGGTGGTTCTGTTATGGTGTGGGGAGGCATCACTGTTGCTGGAAGAACGGCTTTACATGTTGTTGCAGGGCGTGTTACAGGCCAGTACTACCGGGACAACATCTTGGCAGTCCATGTTGTGCCGTTCCCACGACGTCATGGCCGCCGTTTCATCTTCCAGGATGACAACGCAAGATGTCACAGGGCCAGGATCGTTACAGGTTACCTCCAACAACAGAACATCACAACATTACCTTGGCCAGCACTGAGTCCCGACCTCTCCCCCATCGAGCATGTCTGGGACATGCTTGGACAGAGGTTACGTCAACGTCAACAACGTCCTGCCAATGTCCAAGAACTTGCTGCTGCGTTGCAACAGGAATGGGACAATCTGGACCAAAATGACCTTAGACGTCTCATTAGGAGTATGCCACGTCGGATCAATGCTTGTTTGGTTCTGATGCTGTGGTAACTTTGCTGTTTGACCCCGGGTATCATTTTACCCTTATAATGGTCAGTCTGTGCCTTACTTAGTCTAACGATCATTTGGAATAAATCGATGAGTGTGAACTTCATTTCATTTTGTCATTTGTTTCTTCGTCAGTTTCATTAGGTGACTTTAATAACACTTAAAAATCAAATATCCCCTACTTTTTTTGAATAGTATATTTTTGACTTTGAGGTGGTCCTACTTCTCTTAGACGACGCCTTACGGTGTTGGCACTTACTGGTCCTTGTCTTCCACCGACTGCTGCACCCGTTCGAGTAGCTAGGCGGAATATGTGACGCAGATGAGTGACCCGGATGTGGCGGTCTTGAGCCTGGATTGTAACGCGTTGTGGACCAGGACGTTGACGGTCACGTGTTGATCCAGTAACTCGAACACGTCCCACCAACCTTACAATAGTGGACTGATGACAATTGAAGTGTCTGGCAATAGCACGTGTATAGACATGTCAGCCCGGGACATTCCCATGGCTTCATTCCGTTGATTTTCAGTACGTCTCGGGATCTCTAGATCGATTCCTTCACACGTCCAACAACAAATTACGACAGATTGACGTTTCACAGTTCATGTACTGCACATTAAGTTGAAAACATGCTTTTAAAGGGCAGACACACAATGCTGCACGTGAATATTGGGTTTTTCATGTGCAATTTTTTTTTGTGCACACGGGCCGATATTTTTTGCGTTTGGGAGCATTGTGTGAAACAATAGTTCATAGTATTGCATAATATTATACATACAAAACCACCTAGTAATAAAATATTTGGGAAAAAAAAGTGATGCGTTTTCCATGGGGCTCAGTATATGTTAAGCTACAGTAGAGTTTGAGGTCAGTTTAATTGGAAATTAATGGAGTTACTTATAGGCCAGTAACTTTTTTTCAGTCAAATGACTAAATAAAACTAGGCTACATCCATCGAAATAACGTAGAGTAGTAGAACAAACTAGCGTGCGAAGCATTGCCGACGTTTTGGCCTCACTCCACCCACTTGCTAAATCGTGATAGATTTACTAAAGCTAACTTATTCAGAAGCAGGGCACTTTTGTAGAAGAGGAGGTATTTTTTAAAAGGGAGTTCACATACCCACATCCACCCAACCCCCATGCCCCGGTTGGAAATCTCATGGGATTCGAGCGTTATCAAATATTTCAGGTTTCTTTTGTTTTGGGACGAGGATCTCCCGCCTGCTGCCCCGTCATTGGTGCACGGCGAAAGATCTGGCAAGAAAAGACGTCACGTTGTTTGGATGACGAAATACCATTGGTATGGAAATCGTGGCGGAGCTGTCCGAGCAAAAAATTTTGTCAACATTGCATGGCAGCTGGCGCATGCTAGATAAGAAACGAACATCTCTTGACCCTGGGTGTCTCGAGATAGGAGATAGTACTAAATGGTTCCTTCTGAAAGAAACCGATGTGAATTACATCGGAATTCAGTAAGCCAAACTGTCATTTTTTTCTCAAAACAACGATTGATTATTGTTATTTATTACATTCTGCCACACCCAACTACAAATAAGCTTATAATCCTACCTAACACGGATACAAATCATCTCTTTTAAATCGAAGCGTTAAAAGCTGGCTTTGCCGGACACTTTAAAACGGAACAGGTTTGACGTCATAACGTCATGAATGCGGTCTAAATTATTATATATATAAATATATGTCGTGTGACTCGTGTACAACAGCCAATCAAAATACGCGACTTGAACAAATTAAAATCGCAAGTAGGGAACCTTTATGACAAATGGACCGTAATCATGAATGGCCGTTCCAATTCTGTTAAAAACACCGCTTGATTAACTTCACTGACAGTATTTGTACATAAACAAAACTTGTGTCCTTACATTGGGCCGGGTATGTTTAATTAGTCCTACTGTTCTACTTCAACTGGGCTAATGCAGACAGGCATACGTAATCCCTTCAATTCCCCAGTTGTACGTGACAAGGAGTAGGGTCGCGTGTCCAACCTCGTGGGTTTTCTCCGGGTCCTCCGGTTTCCTCCCACTGCTAAAGACCCCTACGCGCAAGCGAATTATTGAAATAAAATTGAACCACGTGTTAGTCCCGAAATCTCATACGTAATCCAGTGTGCTATGAGGAAAATATTTTACCCGGACAGCGGTGCTACGGCCTACTCTTATATCGAATTCCAACTGCCAAGGAGTATTTTAAGTGCACGACAATGTAGATACGGGACCTCGGGTTTTCGCCCCATCCGAACGACTAAGTATAAAATTAACTTGTTTTTAATAAGTTACATGAATTAATGAAAAAATAAAGTTTACCAGGTGAAACTAAAGGCATCCAATCGTATATCTCAACGTTTTTGGCTCTATGTTCTCATATAGGGAGTTCATCCCGATTTTCCCGCGTGGTTCCCCCTTGTCAGTGTTGCAGGACAGAGGGTCTGACAAGGACAGCTGTCTAGTCGTTCGGATGGGTCGAAAAACCGAGGTCCCGTGTACAAATTGGCGTACACGTAAAAGATCCCTCGACAGTTCGAATTCGATATAAGAGTAGACCGTAGTGCCGTTGTACGGGCGAAATTTACCTCATATATAGCACACTGTATGGCGTATGCCCGTCTTCATTAGCCCAGTTCGGGGCAAACATTTCATTTCTACGTTATCATATAACTATGTGCATAACAACCTTCCTTGCCCCAATTTAATTTAATGCTTGGTTCAGATTGTTACAAATTTCATGTGTTTAATTATTTTAGATCATGCACTACTACTTAAACGCCACTTGATCAAAGTATTTAAGGAGATTAACTTTGTTTGCATCTCCGCTTACTTTTAAAATGTCGAAATATTGACGTCTTCATTGTATTATTTGGTGATATAATGGGTCGAGTGGTGTGGTTTACCTCTTTGATTTTAACATATCGAAGATCGATGGTATCCTGATTCATCTTCGCAAGCCATCTGGTGTCATTCAAAAGAATGGAGTCTCGGTGGTTCAGTTATTCAGTGATTCTGATACTGACGTTAGCTTGCTAACCGCGTGGTCCCGGGATCGACCCTCGGGATTTTCCAACGTTGTTTTACCATATGTTTAGTCGTTTGGACATAAAAGAACCATGCACTGACACTTGAAATTCGAAAAATATGGAATCTGACCGGGCGTC